GAAAGCGCGATCAAGGCTTATTTAAACACATTGATTCTGAACGTTTGGCAAGCAGAGGCTAATCCCATAAGGATAACAAAATTTAGCATTAATTTTTTTTTAATTTCTGTCATCTAATGACTTCAGACGCACCGCAGATAACTAATCTAACGATGAAAAAGAAAAAAAAGTAATTCATTCTCTACGTTTCCACCGTATTGCCGTAACCCTTGTACAAAGCATAACTTATAAACTATATCCAAAAGAGTTTAAGAAATAAAGAAGATAAGCCATTAAAACAATAAATTATAAAATATTAAGAAAAACAGTAACTTACACAAAATTCTCGTTATAATAAACCGCTTCTTACAAAATAAAAATTAAGACAATGCCGTACGTGTTAAAATTCTGAAAAGAAAAAGTAAGCATACGCACATACCTACATATATCTTTTCTTCATTTACAGCTATATAGTTCGTGTCTTATGCAAAAATGCCATTGACAATCGGGAAGAAGATATATAAACGACGATGTACAATAGTTATAATTATAATATAATATAATATAATATAATAAAAATAATAACTCGAAAATTATAATCTGAATAAACAAAGAAATGTGTTTTTTATTATTCGCAATATTTGTTTTCTATTCGCTCGCTTCCAACGACTGCATGCATGTGTTTGTGTTTTGTGATATCACCAGGCGTGTTTGTCAAGTAGTCGATGTCAATGTAAGCTCGGCCCACTTAGCCATTACAATATTTTATAGTGCTTGTGAGCCCGCAGGCAAATTACTATTATGATAATCGCTCGGTGGAAACGTAATTATACAAGTACTGCTGCCCTTACAAATGTAGAATATAAGCGTTCGAGTTCTTTTATTTTAACAGCGATATAACACTTAATATCAATCACATTTCTTCTTATTTCTTCCTCTTTAAGTAAATAGATGAGCTTAGAGCTTTATGAATGCATGCAGTTTATAGTCGTCTAAAGCAGAATCGCTCAGCGATTCAAAACTGATTTATTTAGTAATAAAAATATGAAAACATATATAATATTTATATAAACTACATATAAATATAATAAAACGTAGACTTTTATCGTAAGGGCTGCAGTACATAACAAAGCGTCCAAAATCTAAATTAAAAAAAAATATTAAAAAAAAAAAAAAAAAACGAACACTCAGCATACTACACATATTTGGTTAGCTGATGGAGTAACACGCGTCTATAATAATGCCTATTGTGTTTAATCAAACATGTTTTTCTCTTATAGATCAATACATTTAAAGAAAAAAAGACGAAGTATCTAATAAGAATAAAATAAAAATAAAAAAATGTCGATACGAATGAATAGATCCAAAGTAAGCTTCATTTTTAACCTGATCTATCAAGGGTAAACCTACTGTGTGCATCACATGGAGTTTTTATCCTCTTTATCTCTTATTTTTAATCTTTTCGTCCTCTCTTTCTCTCTCTCTCTCTTCCCCTCGCGCGATTCTCTACTTGCTTCGTATTAATTATAATTTGTGTCTCTTAACATGTATATGTGTATGCATGTTTCGTTTTTTAATAACGTGTCTTTATGTATCCCTGTTTCTTTATATGCAACTATATAATGCATACAGTTCGTGTAAAAATAAATAAATCCGTGCGTACACAGGCGGGATCGCTGTACTATTATAATTGCTCTTTATATTTCTCGTCAACCAGTAACAACAGTGTATATAAAATCATTAAAACGGTAAAACAAAATAAAATAAATTATCCAATATATATATTATTATATTTCAGAGAATAAGAATAAGAATCTGCGTAATATATTAATAAAATCTGGTTACTGTTAATATATTATTTTAAATTATTTCGGTATATGAGTGCTCTGTTTGGCTAGGTGTAAAAATGTGCAAATGTGCCCATAATTCGTCGGACTCGTTTAACCTCCTGTCATTTACGTTAAGCAGCATTTATACTTCGTGCTTACTGAATCGCAATTCGGTTATTTCCTTTCACTTTTATGTAACCGTTTACGTTAAGACCACGTTACAACTAAATGGCAAATGGACTATTTATGTTATTTTGGCGTCAAATCTAAATAATATGTTAAAACCAATCGAATTATTAATTTACATGCGATTTATCTTTATATATATGTATATGTATATATTTTTTCTTTTAAATGAAGACTACGAGCAAATTCAAAATTGTTGTCTCTTTAATTTCTGTTACTATCTTAGCTATACATATCAAATAAGCTTTATAAAAATATACACCCATATTTGCATCAAATAATATACTTATACCAATCGAAATGTTTATCTACTAATTTATTGAAAATGTAATTAAATAAATTAAAAAAATTCTAATTTTAATGCAACATGTATCATATATGTATATATATTTGTTTGTTTGTTTGTTTGTTTGTTTGTTTGTTTGTGTGTGTATGTGTGTGTGTGTGTGTGTGTGTGTATGCAATAATAAATAAATAAAGATTGTATTATATATTTTTTGTTTAAATTAATATAATAAACATAAAATTTTACAATAAAAATGTTAATAAAACACTATTGAAATTTATAAAAATCTTGGAATACAAATAATTTAATTACATGTACTCTCTATAAATTAACTAACAATTATATAAAACTTAGATTGCCTACTATACTATTCTCAACAAGATAATATTTTAAACATGTTCTTAACGTAAATGCTTTTAATCTGCCACATTCTTAAATTTTTAGTTCCTACTACAAGTCAAAATTTTTAATCGCGAAACCGCTGTGTCATATTTATGCTGCAATTGAAAATGTCACAAGGAGATAACGTGATTATAATATAGGGAGGGATATATATATATATATATATATATATATATATATATATATATATATATATATATATCATTATTTATTTATTTATATATAAACAAAAACAACGAATTGCACCCCAACCGATGAAAGTTGAACAAAATATGAAAAAAATATCAACGTGCAACGACGTGTTGTGACTATCAGTTAACCACCCCTTGGATAAAATCGTATTTTTAACGTAACTATCTTCAACCAATATAGTTATCAATATCGGTAGATTATATAAAATATAAAATATAGTACCATAAATCATCCAATACATAATAAATCCTTATTATCTGTTGCCTATGCACTTAAGTCCCGATCGTGGAATGTCTTCATGATTTCCACTATTTGCTGCATTATTTTGCGATGTATAGTTTGTAATCGTTTATATAATAGACTGCAGCTGTTATTTATAACAAGTATTGTAACTTTATAGTCAAAGTTCATATTAGAGCTGCATTTTGTTTAACAAATGTTACAAATATACAAGAAAAAAAACAAAAATAAAATACAAAAGAATATTGAAAAAAAAAAACAGAAAGAAAATAATGCATAGGACAAAAGATTTTTTTCGTTGTTAATCGACATAACTCTAAAATTAGTCACTTTTTTTTCCGTTTTTTTTTTGACATATAGTCCTTCTTTCCACGCCCCTTCAATCCTTTACTCTTTTGCAAAGTACTTTTTTTTATCTTTGCTTCTTCTCGTTTTATTAAAATATTTACATTATCATGAGCTCCATTAGTATTCATAATATATTAATTTAACTTTATATGTATGACAGTACATTGCTGTCGTGACCTCAGTATGTGAAACGTGACGGTTCTCTTTTTCAATTATCTAATATGAAGACCAACTATAAATTCTTTAACAACTATATACCCGACTCACCCTGCGTATCGAATGATAATTGTTTCCGCTTAAAATTAAGATTGTTAATTAATAGTTCATTAGTGTTTTATCATCGGCAAACTTACTTGCCAAAACGACGTTCTTATTATTATTCTAGAATAATTCTCTCAATGTTTCTTCTCCTTCATTTACTTAAGAATCCCAGTATTCATTTTATTATTTTGTCTTTTTGTCGTTTTACATACTTATAGATCAATAACTACGGGAGGAATTGGCACCATGTTTGCTCCCATTTTGTATATACGCTTACAACGGTCTCTACACCTTCTATGCGCAAATTTCGTAATACGCTCCATAACCGTGTGTTATACTACGTCATGCGCCACTCCTAGCCCTATGCTCTATCTTCGGTAACCCAAAGATTCTTGCTCTTCCCTCTCTCGAATGTCTAGTCGTTATTAATACTACAACCTTCGCGCAAGTCACTGCTCACGCGAGCACCGCGACTTGTTTCCAACTATTTCTCCATCGTCTTCGCACCGTTTATGCAAGACTTTATGGGGGACGCGATCGCAGAATTGAGTCCCCGTACTCTCTGTCGATTTCGGCGCAGCGCTTGATAAATTGTCATCGTTATTTTTGGCTACAAAAAGGTCAAGAATTATATGCTGCTACTCTTATCCATTTATACCTATTCCTAAATGTGGCGTTTAATAGCGTTTAAAGTAAGAGAGAAAAAAAAATTAAAATAAAAAGAACAAATTTTCATATCGACGTATCGGGTAAACCGATTGGTCTGTCTCTTTTATTGTGTTTTACTAACTGAATTATTCCCAGACCTCTGAAAAAGAAAATAATTTAGCTTAAGCTGATCCTCATTGAAACCACTCATTGTGACGATTCATCAGAGTTCATTTGAAATATGGTATATGTTGTCAACCACAATTACGAAGTAAAGAAAAGCAAAACAAAAAAAATCGCTCCTTGCTATGCATGTATCTTTCTTTGGCACGCCACTCAACGTGTGTATGTTATATATGCAGATATACATACATACATACATATATATATATATATATATATATATATATATACATGTATACACCCCCGCGTGTCCACACACACATATTCTTACAAACATACATAGCACACCAATTTATACACACACACAACACACGTGCACGTTTGCATGCATGTATGTATATATGTATATACGTGTACGCATATTGCAAATGCATATATATATATATATATATATATATATATATATATACATGAATATATAGGTATAGATATTCCATTGATTCGCTTCTTTCTAATGACGATAGTGCGTGTAATTGATCTCTTGCGGCTTTCGACAATCTTCCAGGAGGCTTTCGACAATCTTCGGTGCGAAGAAATCGCGACGCGATTTGCCCATGAAAACGATGGGAACGTTGTTATCAAAGACGACAAAGACAACGACGGCAAAATGATGAAGATAAAGAATGCTGATGACGATGACAGTGACGATGACGACGGAACCCTTATAAAATTTCAGCATACTTTTCCGTTTCGCCCCCTTCCCCTTTCCTCTCTACTCAGGCACGCGCGCACATACACCCTCTCTCTCTCTCTCTCTCTCTCTCTCTCATTCGCTTTTGCGCATGCATGCACGCACCTAGGAATGCACACACATACACAAATGCGCGCGCGTACGCACTCACGCACGCACAATACACACGTAGGCAATTTCTCCTCGTTATCTCTTACATTAGAAGTCGTTCGCCAATAGATGCATCGCCACATCCTCAATACAATATATCACATTACGAGGTTTGGCGCACCCGCGTGAACGAAAGGCTCGGTAAAAGTGGCCGGGCCAAATGCTCCGGGCTCAGTCGTCGTTGTCATCGTCGCCGTCAGCGGCATCATCATTACCATCGTCGCGATCGTCATGCTTACGCACCGGGGAGGTGGCAGCGTGACGTGCCTGTCGAGCTTTGGCGCAGGCCTTAGGAGAGCGTGTTCATGGTGTCGTTATTCGTCGCGGACAGAGCCAGCGAGCCGGCCATGTAATCATTAAGATCGATCTTTCTTGATTCGGGATGTTTGAATTTAAAGTGCGTGCGCAGATTGTCACTGCGCGTGTACGTCGCACGACAGAGAGGACACTCAAACCTGCCGGGGAAGTGGACGTGGTAGTGGTTCCTGATGTGCGTCACGACCTTGCCGCACAGCTTGCACCTGTGTAGGTTGCAGCCGCCTGGCACCCGGTCAAAGGTCAGCCGCATGTGCCAGGCTTTTGAACCTGCAACATCAACACAAGACAAGTCACTCAATCATTGTTGCCTAACACACAGCCGCGCACCATCGCGTTTTTCTTTCTCTAAGTTACTTTCTTTTTTATTGTCGTACCATTTATTTGGTCTTGGAGCCGAGCCCGTTGATGCTTAGACGCAATTTTGGGCTCGGCTTCATTTTCATACATCAATTTTGATTGTTATCTTATTTGTTTGTAAACATTGCCGAGACGCTATGGATGGCGCGCAACAAGATAGTCGCAGAGAGAAAGAGAGTGAGGCAATAGAAAGACGGACTCTACGTGAATTAATGTAAAATTGAGATGTAATGTGAGAACAAGGTTGAGATAAAGAATGACGGGACATTGGTAAATATGAAAATTATGATAACGCAGAGACTACATCGAGAGAAAATTCTTGTCTTTTCGGATATTTCTTTTTTTTTTTGTATTATACAATGAATTTGTTAGTATGGCCCTCCTCTATCATTAAAAAATGCTTGTATTATTTTGTAATTAGCAATTAAACGATCGCACTCTTTTCTACGTTCAAAATAAAAATTGGGCCTTATCCATAATTTCGACGTCAATGTCAAATTATCGTTATAACGGGAATATAGAAAAGTCATACTAACAAATACAGATAAACAGATCGCACGTTAATATTGACGAAAAGAATTTAATATGTAATAATTTTAAACAATTTTAGTCCTACAACTCCATTCTGCCTTTTCAAATAATATTTTACGACAATTATAATTCATTTTTAATATCGTAATAGGACAAAATTTTTGATGAGTAAATGAAGATGAAATCGTAAGTTTTTTCTAAAATTTAACATATTTATCATTGTATTAAAGTAGTATTTTCTTAAAAGCGATAAATATTTATTGAAACCTAATTTTTCAAGTTATTTGTACAGTACAATTTTACCGTACAAAATGAAAATCTGTATTCTTAACATTTTAATTGGATCCAAATATAAAGAAGAAGAAACCGTTTCAATGTTTAAATAACATATACGTGCAATTCGATCTATCAGCCTTTAATTAATAACAATACAATTAGAACAAAGGAATTTGAAATTATCAAATGTTTAAATACTTGTGAGAAAAAAAAAAATTTTAGATTTATAACTACAAACAATTTATTCGAGAAAATTTTATAATTATAGAAATTTCAAACTGAATTCATGGAATTGTAAATTTTTAACAATATTTGTATTATTTTTAAGTGCGATTGTTTGTAATCAAAATTTAAAAGCTATTATTTAAATTTTGTAATAAATGTGATTATTAGTAGACTAACGTTATTTGAAGTTAAATGGAAGGATTTAAAAAATATTTTACTTTGAATTTAAATATAATATCTACATATTTGATATTATTAAAATATTGTCAACATAAAAAAAAATTTAGAAAATTTCAATCATATATTTTGAAAGGAACAATTTATTATATTTTACTTAATTTAACCATATTAAAATAACATTTTTTAGAAGCTATTACAATAATAAGAAATATGTGACTCTTTATTATGTTATTTAATATATTAAAAAAATATTTTATAAATTATTTATATACATGATATATATATTTAAAGAAAGAGAGATACAGAGAGAGAGAGAGAGAGAGAGGCAGTTACATATAAGAGAGAGAGAGAGAGAGAAGAGAGAGAGAGAGAGAGAAAGAGAGATACAGAGAGAGAGAGAGAGAGAGAGGCAGTTACATATATAAGTATATATAGATATATATACAAAGAGTAAACAAATATATTTTTGATTATTTGTTAAATTAACCAGTTACAAGCAATTTTATTAGCTATGCTTTGTACAATAATTTAATATAATTACATTATAATTAATAGGCTAGAATTTACATGTTAGTCAATTAGTCTGTTAGTTAGCTAATTAATTCGAAATCGAAATTTTAGCAACTTATTTATAAATGTTGCAGCTCTTGTCAAGATATATATTAGAAATTATATTTGTAAATATCGATATTGAATTTCTTTTTTGCATTAAATTAGGTTTTACGAACACTAATACAGAAATCGTGTAGTTAATAGTAAAATGAATTAACCAAGCAATGAATATACTGTGTAAAAATGAAGATTTTAATATGAAATTAGCGTGCAGCAAAGTGTAGATATAAGTTTTATATTATACATGGCCACACTTTAATAGCAAAGTAGTGCAAAATTACCTTACATTCGTAATATCATAATATCATCTAAATATCGATCTTTAAATCTCAGTACTTTCTCTTTCACATCAGATTTTTCAATATTTCAGTTAATAAATAGAAATCCTATTCTACTTTCCCGAATTCAAATTTCATTTGTAAAATACAATTGATACAATAAAGAAACTTAAAAGATGAAGAGAATAAATGTTTTAAGGTACATCAGCATAAAACATTCAATGGCAAAATTAGTTATAATTAGCCATGATAGCATAAAGGACGATAACCATTTTCTCTCGATGCAGAAAAGATTAATTTAAGAGAAAGGCAAGGCTATGCTTTTTAGTTCATACTTTGTGTAAATATTTATCTTTATTGAGCATATCGCGTCTAACGCCTCCGCATTCGTGTTGTGCAAAGTACGTTGAGGTTGCATTGCACTACATTGAGGGACTTCGATAGAAGCCACTCGAGCGTGAAAGGATTTGTGCTGGAGAATGTTTGCACGCTTAAGCTGGCGGTAAAGTGTCGATTATCCTTGAGCGTGATCACCCAAATGCATTTAGTCGATCCTTGCGCCCGCGTGCACAAGCATAAGCGGCATAAAGGCAATGTATGCGCGTATGCCCTTTGGAGGATGCGCGAATACGCGCGGCGCGAGAATGCAACCAAATTAACAATTTCTTATGTTTCTCCATTGTCTAATCACCACATATTGGCGTTCTATTACTTATTATTTTCATTTTGTCAATTTATTATAGATCTATTATAAATAATGAACTATAATGAGAATAGCTGAATTTGTATTGAAAATGAGAGCCGACCAAATGTTATTGCTGCATTTTTATAACTCAATATTGTTTTACATAGCAATTTAACTAATACGCCTTATTTAACAATCAACCAATTATTAAAAAAATTGAAATTTATTGGGGTTATCAAATATTACAATATTTGATAATAAATTATTTATTTACTGTTGTGTATTATGAATCATAATTTATAGACTTTCACGATTATTTGCAAAAGTCTTTTGTAATCTTATATACAATTTATCGCCTTTGATTTATTTACGAATAAATAATATTCATCAAATAACTTTATAGAATTGAAGAACATTACACAGTAATAATTTCTCTTATACTGCTGTATGGACGTGCGCGCGCGCATACACACACAAACACGTGCGCGCGCGCATACACACACACACACACGCGCGCGCGCGCGTACACGTATATTAAATTTAGGTAACTTGATGTAGTTATTAAATTTTTTTACTTTCTCTATAATTCTATTGACAATCTATTCGAGGCGCTAATATACATTGTGAGTAGATATTTCATTGTTATATTATACCAAATATTTATTGTTAAATAAACGATGGTATTATTGATGCACACACACACACACACACACACACGCGCGCGCGCGCGCGCGTATGTATAAATATACAGTTGTACATTTCTTGAGCTACATAATCGCCCCCCCCATCCCATCAAGAATTTGTATTTGTGCATATTTCTAAAATTATAGACAATTTTTGTACACACATTTAGATTGAAATACAAATCACACAAGAGCTTTGATGGAATAAAATTATTTTTTTTGTTAATTTAATTTATAGTACAAATTGTTACTTCTTCTTTTATATTAGTCATAAGATAAAATCACTACAGCCAGATAGTAGCAGAGATAGAAATGTGTTATGTCTTTGCGTACGCACGTGTGCCTGCATATAATTGTGTGTAAATATATTTATATATAAGAAGTTATCAACTGTAGCTAAAATAAAGTGAGAAAAAGAGCGAGGAAGTAAGGTTGCGGAAAAGAGGCAGAGAGCATCATACAACATCACTAAGGACAATGAATGTGTGAATAGATGCCCAAAGGCAGTGGAATAAATATTTCACTTTTATATAATTTTGTATTTGTGCTTCTTTTATTTGTGTAAATGTTGTACTTTTCTCATCTAGAACGGTTATTTAGTTGTCTTGAATTTCTCAATGTGTGCATATAAGCGGCAAAGAAATGGATAAGAAAAATAATAATCAACCAAACAAATTGAAGAGTATACATTGCCTTAGATTATATATGTTTTATATCATAAAACTATCGTTGGTTTACCACGACACGAAGAGAAAAGTGCGGACGGTCAATATATAAAAATAGTTGGACAAGTTGTGTGTATGTGTGTGTGTGTGTGCGTGTGCCCCCTTAATGTATCGCTGGTAAATCCTTCATTAAATCAGCTTCATGACAATGTATTGATCAAAATTTTATTTAATTATACGATATTATTCAAGTGTGGAACATTTGTGATTTAAATTTCAGTATTCATCGGAGATTATATAGTAACTTATCCAGTAATCGCTCTTTTATTTCATTTATTTTTAATTCTTTCAACATGTATACATGTGAATTTAGTATCGTTATAACGACGTAATAAAAATTTGGAAGACAAAAACTGTACTGCAGGAACGCTTTTATAACTTTGTCAACGATATTATATAATTCCTTTAAGGCACGTACATAATCTAACCAATGTTGCGTTAATATTTTATTTCATAATTTTTTCTGTTATGTACCACTACGAATATTTACGTCTAATGTTTATCTTGTAAATTACACTCAATTTTTTTTACGTAATAAATTTAAAATAAATAAAATTCACCACAACTGTCAAACACATAATACTTAAAGATAATATAGAAAAACGCTTCCTAAAAAATTGTATTTACGCGTAAAATTTCTTTGTAAGATGTTGTGTATCGTCATTTGAGTCTACTATAATTGTGACGGATAAAATCATCAAGTACACGAATCACC